GGGGGGGGGGAATGAAGATAAAACGAAAAACTTACAAAACCACATATTTTGTGGGTTGTGAAATAAAATCCAAATTTTGCTACACTGATTTTGGTTTATTTTTAAACATCCATGACCAGTACCCAAAAATTAACCATTGGTTTTACTGACATTTCATAAACTGTGTCACTCAAAAATAGTCAAAGTCGATGAAAAATATTGACAAACAAGTCCATAGTTTAGTTATATTAGACTGATAAAACAGACAAAATCAGTGGAAAATAGTCAGAGTTCCTTAGTCTATGGTGAGAAATCATCAACCTCAATTACAATTTTACTTTCTCTGCTAAATAAGGGGCGAGGTTCCATCTTTAAGATATATAGTGAGAACAACTTCCGTATGAACGCAATCAAGGATTTGAAATTCCAATTCCAATTTGTGTGGAAAATCCCTTTCCATGTATGAACGCACTCAAGGATTGAAAATCCCAATCCCAATTCCAATTCCAATTCCAATTCCAATTCCCAATTCCAATTCCAATTCCATGTGATAATATATATATATATATACACACACACACACACACACACACACACACACACACACACACACACACACACACACTTTTTCAATAACATTATAAATAAAATTTCTTAATTCATGTGAAAATTAAAACAAGTCCATATAAATGGGACAGAGGGAGTAGTAAATGTCAGCTTTTCCACATGACATGAAATGGACTAGATTATTAATTGAAGTATTTGACAGCTTCCACCATATAATATAATAATGTATAGAGATTTACAATCTCCTAAAAACTGATTGAATATTGACCCCACATAAGGAAATTTGATTTTTCAAAATTTCATTCAGTCACTCGTTTCTTCTATCGGCCAAGATGTGTAGAATCCTCAATCATGGAATGCATAGATTGGTTAAAAATATTTAGGGAGGATGTATTCAATTGAGACTTGTAAAAATTTTGACGGACATTTTTAAGTGTTGAACTTTATGGATTCGTAGATCTTTTATAGATTTATATGGAATTACTGGAAGTCTTGCTTAGATTTCTATAGATTTTCATTTAAAATTTTTTATAGACTTTGGAGGAATTCAAAAGACTTTTAAAGACTTTCATTTGAAATAGAATTCACGTGGATCTGATGTGAAATTCTCACATACGAAGTATTAGTTCCCACAATTTCTCTTTTCCTTCCCCTTTTTCTTCCCATATAATAAAAAAAATTTAAGAAATAAAAATTTAAGACTTTAATTAAATAAATAATAATCAAAATTATGCATATATATATGATTCAATATTATTAGTATAGTATTCTTTTAAAAATAAATAAAAAACAATATGTTTAAATTTAATTGAAAAATTTCATAAAAAGAAATTTATAATTTAATAAAAAATAGATATTTTTCACAAAAAATTGAATAAAAAAATAGCTACAAGAATCCAATTTAGTTCTTTCATAGAAAGTAGAGATAAATAATAAGAGAGAGAAAGCAAGATAAATAGAAAAAAAATAAATTTTAATCATACATGTTTATAGAAGGTTAAAGGAAAGAAGAATTGAAAAAAAAATTTGTGAAAATCTCCCAAAATCTCGTGATTAATGAGAGACAAATTTTAAAATTTTATATGAGTATTTTCTGCTTAAAAGTTAGTACTTCAAAGACTTTTATAAAAGTCTCGAGAAGTTATTAAAATTTGAATACCCTGAGACTTACAGAGAATTATAAAAAAATTTAATTGAATACATTATAACTTTTAGAGATTTCTTAAAAATCTATAAAAGTCTAAATTAAATATACCGTGACTTTTAGAATGTCTCAAAAAGTCTTAATTGAATACCTCTAAACTTTTTAAATTTCAAAAAGTCATTAAAAGTCTCAATTGAATACACCTCTTTAAATTGTCCTCACCGTCAATTTTTTGTTCTTATTCATTAAGGAACCTCCACTATAATGAAAAAAAAAAATATATATATATATATATATATATATGTAAAGAGACATTAAGGTCAAAGGGTCAATGTTTTCAAGACAACCAACCAGCCTAGGTGGATGACTTTCTAGAGAATATCAGAATACTAGAGCTAGCCATCTTGTTTGCTCGACATTTAGCAACAAGCAAAATGGTGTTTTAGCGCGTCTTGTGCCTAAGTCTATTCATGCATTGAGGTTTCTTGACCTCACATGCCTTGTGTTTAGGTTCATCAACAGTTGTTTTGGGATGTCATTTACTTTGGGAGAAAATCTTGTGTGGGGCGGGCATACCATCCCATGTGGTATGCCCACCCCCATCATGAATTGACACGTGTAAAAACTTTGTCAATTGTACATTTTTTAAATGAAAAGTATGCTGGCTCCAACCTCTTTTTCTTTCCCATTGTCGTGTCTTTCACTCTTTCTCTCTTTTGCCTCTCACTCTTTCTCTTCCTTTTGTATTAGTTTGTTTGTTCTACATTCTTTTGTTTTTAAATATTTTATTTCATTTTATTTTTTTGAAAGGTGACGAGAAATCCCTTTTTAAAATGAATAGGCAAAGAAGTTGTCTTGAATATAATTTCAAGCCAAATTAGAACATATATTGCAACAGTTCTTAACAAATAACAAACTAGTAATAATGCTTTTAAAATACAATAATGTCAAAGCAAAAACACTTTCATCAAAGAAAACAATATTTAATATTGTCTAAAAATCATCATAATCCATCTCAATTTTTTATGTGTGGAAATTTAGCAAAATAATTATACCATACACCCTCTTTATCCCCTACAATAACTTCACAAAATATCATACTTCAATCACCTAAAAAGTGTAAACAAACAAATAAATAAAATTTACAAATCAAATTCATTGGTACAAAACTTATAACTTCATCAAATGCATTTTATTTAATAAAGCTCATACCAGTCTCATATCAAATCTTTCACTATGTAGTCACTAATCGTTTCTCTGTAGATCATCAAAATTATAATAACTTGGATCCTACGAAAAAAAAATCAATAATTGATGATGATGATGACGACGATAATAATAGAAAATTACCTTAGTCAATTAATGCATATTGTTGTGGCTTTGAAGCATGCTTGAAAGGTGAAAATTTCAATGCCCGGGGAGCTAAGTGATGAATAAATGGGGTAAAGGCTGTCAACGTAGGCGAAAATGTTGGGTAAGGTGTGTCACCCTTTTTCGGATGATTGCCTTCTACAACTATAAGCCAAAGGTAATCATCATAAGTGACAGAAAAAAAAACAAAAACAAAAATCATATATAACTTAAGAATTGAATAAGGGTAATAACTGTAATAAAAAATGTTTTTTTATCATATTTATTACCTTTCTTTGTCTTTCTTTTTCTTTTCTCCAAAGTGCTTTTTAATCTTGCATTTGTTATTCCTTTGGCTTTCACAATTGGTGGATTTAATATTCTTGGCTCATCCACAAGAGCATCACAAGTAAAATGAGCATTGTCTTTTCTGAACTTTTGAAGCACGTTGATAGTTTCCTCATCCTTTTCAAGTAACTTCATTGCTTCCGCTAACTTTTCTTTGACAATCTTTGTTTCCGAAATTGTCATTGAGGCAACATTATAGACATTATTTTCTTCTTGCATCAACTCACTAAGGCGTAATGATTTGGAAGATTTCTCATCATTTGTCATTATTGACAGGTCACTTTTGTCATTACTTGCGGCAATTCCTTTCTTTGCCTCTTTAGTTCACCTTTTCATTATGAATTGCGTTAGTATACTAGTGAGTTTATTCAAATCAAACACTTTTAAAGCATGTTGGCATAAAATCCCCAATGATTGAAATAACTTGCATGAACAAAAAACATCGAATGTAAGGGGATTGTATTGGAGTTTGTGCACTCTTTGTTGACCTTATTCAACTACTTCATATGTGTAAATTTCATAATCTCTACACACTTCTTTCATCCTCACTCCAGTGCAACCCATTAGCTCCTTTTGAAAAATACTAAACATTTTTGGGGTATACACATTAACTGCATGACTTAAAATACCACACCTTATGGATAGATGAGGAACACCGTGTTTACATTGATAATCATCTTATAATTCAGCCAAGTGCATTTCCTCTATTTTCTTCTCATAGTGGTGTACAAAAATAACAAGGTCCATTGTCTTGGTAGAAATTTGATGAAAGATATTATTTGTGCTCTCACTCCTTTGGGTGGACTTTATATTTGCTCAAAATGTATCCAAACTAAAAGTACAACACCACTTTCCTCGCAGTGAATACAATTTCTTTAGCCATGAGTAACTCCCGAGGTCAAACTTATTAATCATATCATCCCAAGAAACTTGAAATTCTTCTTCACTATAACACCCATAGAAACATTTATTGAACTGCCTTTTGATATCTGGATTTGCATAATACCTACTAAGATGATGCGTAGCATTCTTAGCAATATGTCAAGTGCACAATCGGTGTTGCGTATGTGGAAAAACTACTTCAATTGCATTTGCCATTGCTTTGTTCTCATCTGTGAAAATAGTTTTTGATTGTCCATTTCCCATGGACTCTTTAAGTGACTCGAACAACCAAATAAATGATTCCGTGGCTTCGTCTAATAAAAATGCACAACTGAATAAAACATTTTTCCAATGATGGTTAACTCCAACAAATGGAGCACATATCAAATTGTACTTATTAGTATGAAAAGTAGTATCAAAACATACAACACCACCAAAGCAATCATAATCTAACTTTGACCTACTATCTCTCCAAAAAAAATTGTCATCTGATTAAATTGATCCACTTGCATTGAGTAGAAAAAGTTGGGATCCCCACTTTGCTTTAACTTAAAATGGTTTAGCAAAGTTTGTCCATCCCCTGCTTCAATCATTTCACCTTTTATTCTTTGCAAATAATTTCTCATATCCTTTTTGGTAAATCCAATGTTTTCAGCTCCACCAACCTTATTTGTTAAATAAAAGTATGATTTTGTTGGTCCTATACCAGCATTAACCATGGAATTAATGACATTTGCTTGAGCATTAGACACCCTACATCCTGATCTAAGAAATTGTCTTTCTTCTAGTCTAGCAAGTTCATGGTTATGATGAGTATTGATATGAAAAATTTTCCATATTCCACCATAAATTTACAACTCGTTCTTGTCTCTAACCTATTATACTTCTTCACTTCAAGCAATTCTTCGTCCCTTTGAAACCCTTCCTTTGAACATAAAAATTCTCGCAGTTTAATATTTTTTGATACATCTCTTCGAATATGCCCTTTACAGATACTAAAACCTTTTCTTAGAGCATATGTATTACATCTATTATAAGCTTCTTCATCTGAACATACTTCCATTCCCACATTGAGTTCTTCACAAATTTTTTCTCTACAACTTAAATCCTCCATTCAGTAGAAAACCTGATTGCAAATATTAACTTATTAAAAACCCATTCAACCCTTATTAATATCAACAAAATAAATAAAACAAAAGATTATTTCACTTTCCCATATATATAATATAAATACTTAAAAATTTAGAGAAATAAAATTAATAAATTAAAGAGTAACATCCCATGTAGGGCGGGCGGTCCCTATAGGGAATCTACTTAATGTGCGCATGGGAAAATAAAACAAATTTTTTATTCTCACTAGGAATTTCTTTGTGTTTAGATAGAAATTGTGAAAAAGATCATACATTTTTCTAGATCTGCAAACTCTTTTGCTTTTCTTGCGTTCCAACGATCTTGATCTGCTAAACACAGTTGTCCAATTGTCCAGCCTCCAACGGTGATCCACACAAAGAACAAGATTATAGAATTAGGGTTTTTCTTATACTAGCAAGAATAATGAATTCTCTCTAAAATTGTAAAGTGTAATCAGTTATTTATATAAGCCCAAACGGGCTTGATCTGACCAGGTCCAATATTTAATTAATCAATTTAATTAAATCCGGTCCGTGAATTAATTAATCAAATTAACTAATTCGGGCCTATAAATAACCAACTCAATTAATTAATTTATCCAACAATTGTTAAATTAATTAATTGACTAATTGCAATCTTCCAATTCTCTTTTGTGTGCAACCCATCAGGTTCCCAATCACGATGTCAAACGACGTGAAATATTATTTTGATCTAATCAAAATCGGTAAATAAAAACACCCTTTTAATTTATCAACAATTCACACTCGTCGTCCCAAATTGACATCTAACAATGTGTCGGGGCAATATATGTGACGGGAAATGTGACGTGGCATAACAAAACCAAACTCGTTCGTTTACCGTGAAACTATAATCCCTTCGTTAATATGATCCGATCAATTATGAGATATGGAAGTATGTTGATCTCGATTATCAATCATATCTTTCACTCCACTATTCAATCAATATAAGTCAAAAACTTATTTTTGACTTATGAGTACATATTGGTCAAGAATTTCGTTATCAACTTAATTGAATGAAATATAGATCATAATTCCTTACTATCTAAGAGTGACGAATCCTCTATTACTCATTCACAACCTTCATACAACTCTTGACATACCCGAACAATGTTCTATTAGCGGCCCTTGTCAGAGCAACATCCAACACTGTCAAAGTATGACTGTCCTCATATAAGATACTATGACGACCTCAAGTCAAAGGACCAATCCCACTATCGGACGTTAGAGATTAACCACTGATACTTAGATAGTTATCCATGTGGAATCTCTAGGCGGGTCTCCAATATTTTGTTCTATAACAAAACATCCACGTGTTTATTCAAGTGTCACTACACTTTAACTTGTGAGATTAGTTACTTACTTCACAAGTAAGAAATGTCAGACGTGATGGTTTATCCGTAAAGACGATATCTGTATCTTGTTATTACTTACGACCACAGATTATTTAAGATTCAGTTATATGTAATTTGTATCTCACAATCATGACTCCTTGTGATTAACAAATTACTAAAATTTGAATCTATGGACTCTATTATTTAATTTAATTGTCTATTAATTAAATAATAGATCTGTCATTAAATTGCATTAATTATATATTAAAAGTATTTACGTCCAAGGTTGATTGGATCTAAAATATAACACTTACAGTCCCAACGGTTCTACCCCGTTTCGAAAATTAGAAGCAACAAATGGCTTTGTTGAAAATATTGAAAACGCATTCAACTTTCAACAAAATAAATACAATAGAAGATGATTTCACTTTCCCATTTATATAATATAAATACTTAAAAAATTTAGAGAAATGAAAATTAAAAAAAATTAAAGAACACCTGTGATTTTTGCTGGATTATAAATTGCTCAGAAAGTCTTCCGTCTTCTAACAAGACTTTGAAGAGAGAGAGAATTTTTATTAGAAGGTGGGTCCAATTTTTAAGGAGAGAATGGAAAAAGTGGGAAAGAAGAAGAGGTTGGAGCCAACGTACTTTTCAATTAAAAATTGTACAATTGACAAAGTTTGTACACATGTTAATTCATGATGGGGTAGCATACCACATGGGATGGTATGCCAGCCCCACAGGCATACCCCACACAAGATTTAAGTCTTCTTTGGTTTTGACTGAGTCAAATAAAGTGCTAAGGTTTTCAAGATTAACTCTAGCAGGACAGTGAAATATTTTGAGGGTTATCTGATTCTCGATGTATTCATTCATTATTGTGCTTCTTTTCAGCGTTTGGTAAATCTACGCTACAAATAATTTAGAAAAGTTATTTAAACCATTAAACTCATTTTAACACAGCTTAGCTGTTCCTTTTAATTCAAAATTGAACATTCTTATTGGTATGGGAAATCTCACGTGCTAAATTATAAATGATGAAAACATCTCTTACCTAGTCGTGATCTTGATTACAGCTGGTTCAACGGTGAGTTAATAAATACTCCTTCCATTCAATAAAGATAGATTTGCTTTCCTCTTTCATCGATTCCAAATAGACCACTTTCTTTATTAAAAGTGTGTGTGGGTATAAATTTTCTAATAACTCCTATTTAATGTGTTTTGTTATCAACAAATATAAACTATTCACATTTAAATCAGTATTTAATGTATGAGTATATTAGAAAAAATGTAAGAAAAACTTATGTTTCTAACTATATTATTTACATTTTCTTAATGTGTGAAAATAAAAATAAATCTATTTTTATGGAACGACGGGTGTAATAAGCTTCACCCATTAGAGTGACTCCAGTCACAACTAAATAGTTGAGGCATCTAAACATCAGTCCAGCTTTCTACAGAAACACAAAAAATTCTGCAGTTTGAGTATGTTTGGCAAAACTTTTTTTAACTTTATAGGATAAACAAACATCATTTTTATTCACAAAATTTATATCACTCATAATTTTAAAATTCATACCCTATAATCTTAAAAAAAAATGGAAAATGCACATTTCCTTCTAATTCTATCATCCAAATAGTTAATTAATTTTACAATCATTAAATTCGTAAATGGCCTGGATTAAACACGTTAGTAACTCACCTCCGTACCAGATTTCACTTGGTCGTCTCTTTAATCTTTCTTCTCTATTTTTTTTTCCTTAGTTACATCATTCTATTCACTTCATTCAAACACAAAAGATAGAAATTTGATGTGCCAGATGAGAGAAAAAAAAGAAAGAAGAAGGTTACATGCACTTTAAGAAGGATAAAAACAAGGTTATGCATGTAAGTTTAAAGAAATTTCAAGGTAGTCACTTAACTTCATTTCATTTCAAATCAACTATCGAACTATTGTTTTTCTACTACTAAGATATCAGGCTTTAGCCCAGGCACATTGTAATGATTCAATCTCTATACCCAAACCGTTAACTTACATACTATCTGTTTTAAAAGAGTCTAACCTATTTTTCCCTCATAACTTTCTGTCGCGTCCTTAGGATTCGAACACACGACCTCCCTTAATAAAGACTTAAGTTGAATTTCAAAGCGAATAGTACATAAGTTAATGACTTCTGATATATGCTAGATTATTGTCACTACTAAAAAACAGAGTTTCGAGCACAGATTTTTCGTTCCTAAAGCCTCAATATCCGTTGCTAATAATCTTCATCAACGGAATATTTGTAACCACAAATTCGTTGGTAATTTGAGGGTCGCTGATAGTTACTAACGGATCATGCCTTAGGTAAAGAGTAAACATTTTACCAACGAATTTTTCGTTGGTAAAGTGTGAATCTTTTACCAACGGAATTTTCGTTGGTAAAAGTCTTAACCAATACAAACCGACTTTCCGTTGGTAAATGTCTATCATTACGATTGGTAAAAATCAATGTTGTAAATAACCGTATGGTAAAAAAATTATTTATTTATTTATTATTTATTTATTTAATAAATTTAATAATTTTTTATTTTTAGCCAACTAATTGAAAGGCCAAAATATTGTTTAATTCCTTATTGGACCACAAATTTGTAGAGGGCAACTACAAAGATATTGTTGTAAACTTCCGATGTGGGATAAGTGAATTATTTTTACCAACGGATAATTCATTTCTCATTACCAACAGAATATCCGTTGCTGAAAGATCAAAATGTTAAACGGTTATATTAGGCACGGAATATCCGTTGGTAAAGAGATATCATTTTTGCTAACGGATAATCCGTTTCTAATTACCAACGGACTATCTGTAGGTAAAAGATCAAAATATTAAACGATTATATTAGGCACGAAATATCCGTTGGCAAAGTGATATCAACTTTACCAACGAAAAATTCGTTGCTGATCATTGTAGCTAAAACTGAATTACTTTTACCAACGGATAATCCGCTTCTAATTACCAACGGATACAATCCGTTGGTAATATTCGGTACATTACCTACGGAAGATCCGTTGGAGGAAGATCTAAATGTTAAATGATTACATTAGGCACGAAATATCGGTTGGTAAAGAGATATCATCTTTACCAACGAAAAATTCGTTGCTAATTATCGTAGCTAAAAGTGAATTACTTTTACCAATGGATAATCCGTTTCTAATCACCAACGGATTGCATCCGTTGGTAATTTTTCGTAGCTGAAAAGTTGTTTTTTAGTAGTGTGTTCAATAAAATTTCACAATCGCACGGGATCGTTGACAAGTAATAACTTTGTTGAGAAGAGTTATCATCCCATGAAGAATAAATTTCAATTCAAGTTTGCTAGTTTCGTATGTAATTTGAATTGCAACAATAAAATAGATTTTGATGTTGTGATTTTATGCTAAATTATCTAAGAAAGCAGTAAAAGTGTATTGTATCAATAAACGGATGATTTTATTCGATTTTGAATTTGTCATCCATTTCAATTCTTAATTATGTAATCTAGTCATATTTGTGCATTCTTGACAATTGATAAAGCAAATGTGTTTAATTTTTTCACGA